CTGCCAACAATCATATTAAATGCTTAAAATATACCACACATCTTTCAAACTCCACTTATAGAATTTATTTCCTTTTCATACTAGTTTCTGTTTTGGCTTAAGATTTCATATTGTTTTAGTCCAAATTTATGGATTTATTTTTCTCCAGACAAAACCAAAACCAAAGTAAATAAACTTTAAGAATTACTAGGCAAGAAATCTGTATGAATTCCATTTGAGCCAGCAGTAGGGAGTCACTTGAAGTTCTGAGTTATACAAATGGCTGTGTGAGTAGTATAAAAGTAAATCAAATGCTATTCAGGTTTCCAAATGTTTCAACAGCAATCAAAAAACTTAAGCATGACCAAGGACCCTTTCTGAACCTGATCCTCCATTCTGTTATACAAGTGATACAGTTCTGGAGGAGTTATTTCTATCTACTGTAATGGAGTTGATCTTTAGATTTAAAGATTAAGGGTAAAAATTTGGTTCCTTTGAAGTCAATAGCAGTTTTTCCATAGACTTTAACAGAGCCAGGGTTTAACCCTAAGTAGTTGAATGCGTTATTGCTGGAAAGTGAAGGTAGTCTAACTTGAATTACCAGTGTTCAAGATTCATTGTATTGGAAGAACGAATGACAGGAATTCTGTGAGAGTTTGAAAACTAATGAACTCCTCAAATTCATATAGTATTATCGGTAGCTACAAGAATAATGAGTTAGTCTATAAGATGCCAATGTCACACTAACCTGCCTTCTCTCTATTGGTTATTTAGGAAATAGAGATTATTTGAACATAATCAACGAAAACTGGAAAAACTTTTTTAAAAAAAGAAAAAAAAAGTTAAATTCCCCACAATCTTGTCATTTATCATGTAGTTTTGAACTGTCTTTGAATATCAATAGCTTGTAGTTTGCATACCCCATTCTCCCATACCCATAACTACTTTCCTATCCAAAAATAATACATAGATTTGAATGGACACATTTTCCCTCCAGTAAGAACACAGAAGTAAATGTATATTGATACAACACATGGCTTTTATTTAGAAACTTACAATTGAACTTTAGGACTAAGTACAACTATGTATAAGAAAATGGAGTCCAGAAGAATAAGTAACTCTGATTATAAGTTTCTTCATGGCTAGGTACAGACATTCAAAAAGCTTGAGACAGAATTGATCTAAGTTACGTGGTTTTCTGTAAGCAGTGTAGTTTAGATTTGTAGCAAACAGAACACACATTCGCCCTTTGGTGAGGGGAGAGGAGGGTGCAGCAGGATGGGGCATGACATGTAGTAGTATCCCCCAGTGACCCTTGGCTTCCTGCTTAACCTGTTCCTGGGTTCTTCTTTCTCCTTTTGCCTGCCACAGCTTTGATGTCTCTTGGAAGAAAGTAGTCATTGAAAGGCTCCCCAGGACTCTGGGGGACCACTTATCCTGCCTATGTATCTGCCACTCCTGGCTAACCCAGTCCCAGGGGCATTAAGGGCTACATTCCTAGTCTCTGAAGGCAGTGATAGCCTTGGTGACTATTCAAAGCCTCTGATCTCCTCTACAGCTGTACCCATACCACAGAGGTGGCATCATTTAGTCATTCTTCTATTGGAGCTTTGGTCTTCTCGGCCTCTGTCCCTTTTTTCTCTGGGCCTTCTAGCCCAGGCCCACTATATGGATCCTGGTTTGTGGGTTCCAGCCCTGGTCTTGCCCTCTTGGGCTCTCATCTCTGACCCTGGTCTCTGCCCCTCTTAGGGCTCTAGGCTTTTAAGCCCTGCCTCTGCCCTCTTTAGGCACTGCTGGGACCCCCTCTCACCCCTACCAGTCCCTCCCGAACCGCAGGTCAAACCAACTGAAGTCTGGCTAATGCCTTAAGTAAACATATGCCTGCCCTAGGTACACAAGTCCTAACAAAAGTTTGCTGTTGCTTTAGCTTAAGTAGCCCAGTCTGGGCAATCACCAACACACAAGTCTGCCACTAAGAAAGCAAAGCTTTCTCAGGTAAATCCTCTTCTGGGCTCCTGTCTGCCCAGTTCCCAAGAGTTTGATTCCCTAATAGGATTTTTCCATGAGTCCTCTCTTTCTCACTCTCTCCCTCAGCATGAGGGCTCCACTTCTCTGTGGAGCTCCCTCTCTTCTTTGTGCCTCTCGCTGCACTCTCCCAGGCACTCTTTCCCTCTGGTACCTCTCTGATCCTGCTTTTATTACTTATTAGTGTCTGTGTCTGGTGACTCACCAGTCCCAGGCATCAATATTTCTCAGTGAGAGGGGAGTGGTCACCTTTCCCTCCCCAAGTAGCCCATTCTTGAGCTGGTGGGTCTTATCTTATCTGTTTGCTTTCACAGAGGCCCTCCTGACAAGCCTGCTTAATCTGTGGAACAGGAGTCGCTGGCTCCCTGTTACAGGGCGTAAATCTTAGATTGGGTTCCACCATTTTTAAATTAGTCTGTGTGCCGAACTTCTATGGGTATAGACCGATTTTCTGCACCAAACTTCTGTTCTGTTACACATATGACTGTCATGTAATGTCTGTACCTGGCCCACATGCCTAAAGGGAATGTGAAACTACTAATGCTATAGTCATGTAAGTGTCTGTAGAGTTCCAAATAATGTTTATGCTAGATATTTTTCAGAATGGAGAACATATAATTACTATTTTTGGCTACCAATGAAGAGACTGTTTTGTAGTTTTGTTTACAAATCATAAACTTATTGCATTGCTTTATTTTGAGAGATATACTAGCATACAAGGATGAGTCAGAAGGACTCATTCCTTCAGGATAGGTGCTGTTGAACCCCTGCTTTAGTATGTACAGAAAAGACAAAGAGTATTCATATGGAGCTTGATCCTGCCTCATCTTTATCAGACAAATCTTAATACTTCAGCATGGAGCAATGCCATTGATTTAAATACTATTCTGAGAGAATCCTCAACTTCCATTTAGAGCAGTGCTTTACAAAGTAACCTTAGTGGAGGCAAGTATCCTATCCTTTGTGTTTATGAAGGCAAAGAATCCGTGTCCTGGTGGAATAACCTGCCAGTAGGATTCCAGATGTAGTACATAGACAGAAATACTAAATTTTGTAAATAAAGATCAGAATAATGAAGAACAACATAGTTCATTTCAATCCAAGCAATGAATTCTGCATTTAAAAAGCAATATTACTTCATACCTAACTAGACATACATAAATAGAGAGAAATCAAGTTGGTATACAAGACAAATCAATGTGGTATACAGGACAAATCCTCCTCGTAGTAAAAGATGTGCTGATGAGCTGTGCATAATCAAACAGGATTAATGGTCTCCCATTAATGGGAGCTGCATAGGAAGCTCTTTTCATGGATGTTTATCCACTTTGTAGATTTAAGTCATTATCTTATTTTTGCAACTTGCATGATTTTTCAATCTAGAAGAAACCATTGTCAAACAACAATCTTAAAAAAGTTGTGTGTCCAATCTTGAAACCTTTACATTGAAGGGAATTTTGCTGGACTGAGTAAGGACTTCTTCAAAACAGAATACTGTATGTGCACACACAAACACGCACACCACTTTATTACAAGGTACTGATACTCCGAGGTCAGAGCAATTATAATATGTGAAAAATGACGACTTATACAATCTCTACGCAAGCAAGCCTATACTGAAAAATAAAGATACAAAAAGATCTATAACAACAAGTTTGAAAGAAAAGAAATGCCATTATGTCTTAGGAACAATAGGGGCACTATGGAATTAGAAGAAAGATGGAAAGACTTAAAGGGGTCAGACAAAAGTGATAATTCGCACCCAATCTGGCCACAGATAGCGGTCTATAGTCATAACTAAATATAAGGGCACAGCTGCAGACAGCTTAGACAGCTGCAGACCAATTGGATGAAAATGTGAGCCTTTATTGCATGAGAGGTAAGGAAAGGACATTTCAAAACACTGAATCTTCTGTAACTTCTGTCTGCACTGCCTATCAGACTATTGTCATTTTCAGAATGGGAAGAGGAAAGGGAGTGGAGGGAATTCGGTTTGGGGCTTTTTCAGCCCCTGCTCTCTTCTCCTCTCTTTCCCCACTCCCACTCTGAAAACAGGGATAAGGATGGAAGAGAAGA